CTTCGGCTTCCTCGGGGTTTCAGTCTGGAGCAGCCCCTGTCAGAAGCCATGCTGATGCTGACCCAGTGTCGTGTAAGCATTGTTTGGCTCAGTTTGTTCTCAGGTGTGATGGATACACCATACACTGAAAATGCTGTTCCATCCTGCAGACCTGAGACTTTGGACTCAGTGTGGTAAGAAGTCCCACAGAGACTTCATCGTTAGCTTTGAGGAAACTGCTATCCTGGGCCTTCAGAATGCAACACATTAGCTCATTTAAGTAAATGTACACACAAAATAGTTTTTCTTCTAGGTTAGTCTTCATAAAATGCCAAATCTCTTGTTTCCTTTTCTTATGTAATAGCCATTAGGTAACTAGTGTTTCCTTCCCCACCACTGTTGAGTACCAGGGGGCTCAGAGATAAGTTTTATTTCACTAAGCATGGTGTAAAGCTTTTACCTTTTCCCCACTCTAATTACATTGCTCTTGGTTTCTACTGTCCAATTAAGGATTTTATTTTATTCAAATCTTCTGTTTATATTATTCATTTTGTGTTCCTTTTGAAACTAGGTCATGTCATAAATAATAAATAAGATTTGAAGCAGGCCTAGATGGCACCTGTTCTGAAAGGCTCAAGTGATGAAATCTTCACATTTTTTTGGTGTCCTTTGGCCGTGCAACCAAGTCACTGCCCTGGCATGTGGGGCTTATGTCATGCTTGTGGAATTATTTTGATCAAAGTAATGACGAAACATTTTAGGCTTTACAATTTCCCCCTAAAGTGTGAAAATGTTTCTAATGATACGGTATGCTATGAGTAAGGCTTGCTAGTAATATGTAATGTGTAAAATGTTGAACATCTCCACAGGACCCTGATTTAATTCCCAGCACCCACATCACACACACACACACACACACACACACACACACACACACACACACACACACACGAAACGTGTTTCTATAGTACCTGGCAGGCACCATATGATGGGGAATGTCCTTCTATATATATGTTGCTCTTATTAGTTGATGAATAAAACACTGTTGTTCAATAAGGCAGGAAGATAGGTGGGATTACAGGATGAGGAGAATTCTGGGAAAGGTAGGCAGAGAGAGGGCCCACTAGAACAGTCACCATGTGAGTCGCCAAAGGAGTTAAAGGTCCGGATCCTTCTCCAGTAACATAAGACCAGGAAGAAATAGATTAATGGAAATGGGTTAATGATTAAGACAGAGTTAGTGTGTTCATTTGGGGCTCAAGGGCTGCAGGACCATCTGGGAAAAGAGAAAAAGAACCTCTCATTACAACCATGTGCTTAGTAGCTTAGTGAACACCGAATGTAAGAAAACACTGAGCCAGCAAAGGTGTCCTCATCACTCCAGCTGTGCCCTTTCACAGCTGCAGGCCATCCTTTCCCACGGTTCCTCATTATGCTCATTCATCTTCCTCACTCGGTTTCCACTGCAGTTCCTACACCCTCCACAAGAACCCCAGGTAGAGAGTAACCATGTTTGGCTTTTATTGTCTATATTTAATGAAGCTCCTCTTCATTTTCATCACATAACCATGGGAAAAAGTGAATTCTAAGCCAAATGGTTTTTGGTCAACCAACCCAGAGGAAATAGGTAACTGAGGCAGGAAAGGCCTTCCAATGACGGTACTATAATCCCAGCTGAAACGAGAGAAACTTAGTCTGGAAGAAGTAATTTTAAGGTGATCTCATTTAACCGAGTGACTTGCAACCTGAGAAATGAGTTTTCCCTATCCAAGGAGAACGTGGGGCATCTTCAAGCTGTCTGAAGTAGAAACAGACATGCATGGTTTTTAAGGAAATGTGTATGATAATTTTTTTCTACCACTAAAGAAGGATTTGTTAAAGCAGTTGAAATTCAGCTCAAAGGAGTCATTTTATTTTGTCGCTCAGAGCTTTAAAATGTTAAGGTTGCCCAGGAACAAGGAGATAGAATTCTAGAAAGTTTCTAAGGCAGACAAGCTTCCGGGACCAGCCGTTTTTGTTTGCTTCCTTCTCTCTTGTCCTTTTCCTTCACATTTTCCCCATCATGTGCTCTTCAAACTGTGTTTCAATGGTCTGGATGGCATGTATGGCTGTTCCGGCGTCCCTTGTAGGAGCTGTTTCACTGGCTCATTTGTTTGATATTGTGATAAAGGAATTCACTAATATCCTGAATAATGAGTGGAGAAAGAATACCAAAGAGTATCTACACACAAGCATTTTACTGGAAAGTTAGTTACAAAATCACAATACTCTTGCAAATGACATATGTAGTTACTACAGAAATAAAAGTCCCAATCCCCTTCTTCTCATTTTCTTTGGTTTTCCTTGGTATCAAGTGTATGCATGTTCTATGTATCTGACCCCTTTGATGAAGAGTCTACAACTCCTCTTGGTATCAATAGTTTGGATCAATAGTTTTAAAGGCATAGGATAGTATGTTCCAGAAAGAGCATCCTGGGAGACAGGTTGGGCCTTCTCTTGCACACTTAGGTGTTGTGTGAAATGGTTTTCACTCTTTTGGCTTTTTGAGAATCCCACCACACATGGAGTTATGAATGCCATGCCTTAGCTTGCTTCTAACTGGCTTTTATTTTTTTCTTCTCTTTTTAAATTAATTTATTTTTTACATTCCAATCCCAGTTCCCCCTCCCTCCTCTCCTCCCACTCCCTCCATTTCCCGCTACCTCTTATCTGCTCCTCAGAGAGGGTAAGGCCTCCACTAGGAAGTCTAAGTCTGTCCCATCATCTTGTTGGGGCAGGACCAAGGCACCTCTCCACCCTCACCCCAGTGTCTAGGCTCTCATCAGCTTTTCTTAACTTTAATTAACCCATATACCTTTTCCCTCTGGGCTTTTTTTTTTTTTTTTTGGTTTTATGAGACAGGGTTTCTCTGTATTGTTTTGGAGGCTGTCGGTCCAGCCCGGCCTCTAACTCACAGAGATCCGCCTGCCTCTGCCTCCCAAGTGCTGGGATTAAAGGCGTGCGCCACCACCGCTCGGCGCCCCTCTGGGCTTTTTTATCTCTCTTCTGTACATCTTACTTTCCTCCTTACTGGTGGCTGGGTGGTTGGGTGGATGGCTCCTGACATCCTCTCTCCTTGTTTTCTTGCTCTCTTCTTTCCTCATTTCTCCTTCTGTTTATTCTCTCTGCCCTCCAATCCCACCTATCCTTGCTCCTGCTTTGCTATTGACCGTTCAGCTTTTTATTAGACCATCAGGTGTTTTAGACAGGCAAAGAATCACATCTTCACAGAGTTAAACAAATACAGCATAAACAAACGTCACACACCTTAAAATAATATTCTACCACACTGAGGTAGGGTTGTCTACCAGCTGTGGCACCCATAGCTGGGAAGAGAGCCAAAGGAGTGCTGGCAATGTAAGACTCCAAAGACTCTAAAAGTGACTCAGATTGCCTTGAACCTCGGCTGCTCTGGGGCCTTGGCCTCTCCTCCTTTAGATTCAGGCATACATTCTTTAATGTTTACATGGATAATAAGGCTGCAACACAGGCAGGCTCTTTGGTAGCAGCAAAAAGTTAATAACAAATGCCTATAGAATGACAGGATCCAAATTTAAATGAATGATAGCTCAGGCCTTGAAGACAGTGGGTTGCAATAGGAGTAACTGAAGTGATTTCTGCAAGCTGAGGGTTATTTGGGCCTCATTGCTACAATGATTATGCATTATTTGGTATAAATTGTTGTAGAAATGTCAACTAGAATCTCACTTTAGGCACAAAATTTTAAATTATGCACCAAAGAAGAAAGGCACAAGAATTCAATCAACTCAAAGCCAGCCTACACAGCTGTTTCTGCTGATGCTGGATGGCAACTTCACTATACAAAAAAGAACTACCCAGTGTCCTTTATTAACCTTCTGGGAAATAAGAGCTTGGAGTAATGGTAGCTCCCAGGGGTATATTTCCCCGTTAAAGGCACTGCCCTTGGGCTCTGAGGCCTTTGATGTTCTTGAGGATAGTGGGACAAATTACTTTGCAACTTTCTTCTGGAGGAAATATAGGTAAATATCCTACAGTAGTAGGATAATAGAGTAAACTTTCCTGTGGGTGGCATGCAAATATTTCATAAAATATATGCCACTTGTATGAAAACTCCCAGACATCTGTCTAATTGCCAAGGCGGTTGAACATGGCTTGTGGAGAGTGTCTCATCACAGATAGATGTAGACATTCACCCTGACAAGATAGAAATCTACTACTGCCACTTTGCAAGAGCTGCTAAGAAAGTAGGCAGTGGCACGAATAGATAAGTTTCATGCAGAATCATAGACTATGACTGTTCACTCATTGCCTGCTTTTTTGTTGTTGTTGTTTTCTTAATAAAGGTTTTTATTAAGAAAGTCTTTGATTCACATTGCAAAGCTCAGTTGACCTAAGAACTACTAGGGGTGCCCAATTTGATGCTATGATATGATGTATTGGTATTTCAGTGTGGTGGTCTGCACTCATGGTTGTCTTGGGATGCACGTGGCCAGCACTGCAGGTTAGACATGCCTTTGGGCTATATATCTTCTGTCACCCTAGCTTGAACAATGACATTAGTCCTCCCCTCCCAGTTAAAATCACTTGGGATCCATCCAAATGCCAAGATGGAGTTTAGGTTTTTTGAAGAAGGCCTGCCCATCAGTAACATTTCGCCTCATCCAAGCCCATTAGCCAGTGAGTTTAAAGGAGAGGAGGAAAAAGGAAACAATTTAGGGTGGAGGAAAAAAATAGCAAAATGATGTTATACCTTTGACATTTTGCAGCATGCAAATGATATAAGAAGTGATATGCAAATTTGCACCAATTGCTTGATTCAAGAGCTCACAGCTTTTGGAAATTGGTTTGAAGCAGAAAGTAAGGTGTCTGTAATCAGAGCCTTCACATTCAAGGGTGATTATCCCCTTGGGCTGGAACCAGAGCGTGTTTGCAGGTTGCAGAGTTTTTGGTGCTGTACAAGTCTGACTGCTCTTCCTTCCCTGTCCCCCACTCTCTTGCAGGCCGGAGGATGTTCTCCTGCATCGCACACATGATGAGATTGTCCTCCTGCACTGCTTCCTCTGGCCAGTGGTGACATTTGTGGTGGGCGTCCTCATTGTGGTCCTGACCATCTGTGCCAAGAGCCTGGCCGTCAAGGCAGAAGCCATGAAGAAGCGCAAGTTCTCGTAACAGGGAGGAGGATTGTGGGAAGCCAAGCACAGAGGCTGCCCTGTCAGTGCTCGCCTGCCCTGCAGAGCCCACATTTGGTGGCGCAGGAGATGGAAGGAGCCACAACAGGCCTCCAAGAGGCACCTGCTTCAGTGGCAGCAGAAACAGACACAGTTGGAAGACTCTGGGACTCATCACCTGTTTTCCACGTGCTGTAGCAATGGATAAAGGGTCAAGCTTTTAGCTATATGGAGCTGTTTGGAAAGCCCTCTAAGAAGTTGGTTTTCTTTGGAAAGCAACAGTATCTTATTTGTATAGTGTAGTATACAAAACATTATGATTTATGCTACTTACAAATATTAAAATACAGTGCTCTGTGTTCTTTTCTATTTTCTTTTTTTATGCTTGGATCACCAGGGTATTTAATAGGGGTCTAACGGTTTTTACTTGACTCCGCTAGATTAAACTTAACATTTGAATCTGCAGAACTGTTAACCTTACTGCATAACCACCATTTTCCATGAGTAAATAGTATCTTGACTACTACTTGAAAAAGGGATTCTACAGTGGTAACTCAGCCTCCAGCCACTCTGTTTTTTTCCCTTTGAAGCCTGAAAGCATCCTCCATTGGCTGATTAGTGTGGCCATTGTTTCTGGCCAGATGACTTTGTGAGAGAGGGACATGATTCTGAAGGTCTGTCCAAACTCTGGGCACACAGAGTTCTTATTTATCTGTTTATGCTATTTATTCATTTATTTGAAGTGCTAGGAATCAAAACAAGGGCATCCCACATGCTAGACAAGCTCTGGACCATTGAGCCATGTACCCAGACTCACTGTTCAGTTTTTTTTTTGTTTCTTTTTGGAAGGTTTTTTTTTTCTGTGCAGTAGGATATACATGACATGAAGAACACTCTTCACTTTATAGTTAAATGCTGTTTTCCTTTTTTTCTTTTAGAACTGAAAACAAAGTCTGTTCAAGCATTTCGTTTTCCCTGCCTTGATGTTCTGATGTTAAAACGGGGTGACTGGCGCACTTGATCAGTTTGCTCAGACAGGACTGCCCATGCAGCCTGGCTCACCGCACTGCCCCTGGGCTTTCTGTACCTTCAAAAGTGCATCGAAACCAGGCATGGTGGCACAGGTGGATCTCTCTCTATCCAAGGCCAGCCTGGTGTTCATAGTGACTTTCAGGACAGCCAGAGATACATGTTGACACCCTCTCTCATTAAAAAAAAAAAGCATCGGAAACAATCCCCTTTGCATCTGTTCATAGGCTCAAAGTCCAAACACCAACCATGAGTCCCAGCAGCTATGAGACCCACCCCGTTCACCACCCAGAATGGAGCCTTCATTCACATGAGATGGCACACATTTTCAGTGGAAGAGCAACTGACGGCATAGCGTTGACCTTGGCTTTCTTCTCGCTCTGCAGACATGCTGCCCTTAGAATAAAATTGGAATGGAAGGGCAGGCTTGCCTCAGTTGTTTCCACGGGGTTTTGAACACTAAGTGAAGTGATGGCTCCCTCCTTCACAGCCCATATGTCACTGTCCTCTTGCTGTCAGAGTGGAAGCTGTCAGAGTGCCCTGGTCCTCTGGAAGAGAATAGTCATTCTTTTTTCTAAATCAGGTGTTAACAGGTTTCACTGTGAATAAGGCCTGGCATACACTATTCATGACATCCTTTGAGGCTGCTTCCGTGCCTTGACTTCAATCCCAGTTTTCTGTTGCAAGTGTCCCTGTTGTCTTAGCAACACAGAACTATTCTGAAGCACCGGGTAACATGAAACCAAGAATCAGAGAAAATCATCGTCTTGGCATCACACGGAGGGAGATGAAGTCTGTTTTATCCTCATCCAATTATCTATGATTAACTGATTATAGCGAACACATAAACCTTAAGAGCCCATGGACATATGTCTGTGTTGGAATAAAAGAGAACATGTTAATCAACCTGAGTTTTCATTTGTCAATTCGATACTCATAATTTATATTAGCTACATGTATCCATTTAGGCCCAAAGAATATACATGCAACTGTATGCTGTAGGTTGGTTCTTGGAAGAGAGGGTAAGCACATTGAATCTGTGAAAGTCAAATGTAGTTTTTAGGTCTTGTTTATGCCAGTTCCATTTGAAGCTTCTTGGTTATACTTGTTAAAAGTAAAAGCCAAAGGTTCAGCAGGGAGGGGGTTCATAAAAGATATGCTTGAGTTCTTAATATTTTCATTCTCTTTGTTTTGTGTAAGTTGGAGAAAGGATCAGCTGCTATAACACAAGCCCCCAAATGGGATGGTTTATGTAAGATGCTAGTTATGTCTTCTGTAGCAATCCAGAAATAGCAGCTGATACAGAGGGTGTTAGGCAAGCTCTTTAAGCATTGTCTATCTGTGTTTCTCTTATGGCTGATGCTGTCTCGTGTCCATTCCAGCCTGGAAAAGAAAGGATGTTGGGATAAAGCTGTCTCCCTTATAGACATTTTACCATCACTTGTCCCCATAGTCAATCCCTCAGTATCGACTGCACAGCTTTCAGGACCCCTTCAGCCTGTTATCTGCATGCAGATAGACACAAACCCTGCAAAGGCTCTAGGGGGCGGGGCAGCTTCTATTTGTAAAATGAAGAGGGGAGATAGTATTAAAGGAAAAGTGAAAAGAGATGGACCAATGGACCTCTAGAGCAGGCCTGACTGGAGGCAAGGTCTTCCTGGTTACATCACGGATCCCTCTGGGAGATATGCTCTAGTTTATTGTTTCTGTGACCCCTATTTTGAACCCTAGGAAATTCTTGCCAGCAAACCATGCAACTCTGAAAATTTAAGGGACATACCAGTTTATCTTCCACCTGTCCTCTGGTACAGAACTATAAAATAGTTTGCCTTTGGAATTAAGGAGGCTTTTTATAGGCCAAGCATATAGTTCACCTCACTGTCACAACTCAAACTCAACTCCTGATGTGAAGTCACTAAGTCCCTTCAAGCTTCACTTTACCCTCGACTACATATTTGTGTAACAAGTTCTTGGAGGGCCAGTGGCTCTTCCTTTGGCCCCAGTAGGAAACGGAAATCACATATAATCCTGGTCTGCCTGTAATAATTCTCACCCAAGCCTAACTTCATGAACAATAAAAGCTAAGCCATTGAAACCATTTCTAAACCTATGTTGGTGTGTGTGTGTGTGTGTGTGTGTGTGATTATCAATACCTGAACTAAATTCACAGCACCTGTTGCATTTTGGGTAGTAGTGGTGGTGACATTTTGGGGTGATTACAGCATTAAAGACATGATTTCATTAAAACCATAGTAGAGCTGGAGATGGCTCAGCAGACTAAGGCACTTGCTGGCAAGCCCGACAGTCTGAGATTGATCCTTAGGGCCACGTGGTGAACAAGAGAATCTGCCACCATAAATTGCCTACCCTCCTCCACACACATACTGTAACACATGCATGACCCTCACTAAACGTATAAATGTGATAGATTTTTTAAAAGAATATAAGTACATATCCTTTCATTTGTTGCATTTGAAAGTAATTAAGGCATAGAGTGCTCTTAATTCTTCAGCTGACAGTCACGGTATGTGGCCTGTGTTTCTGAACTTCTGTTTAATGGCAGCCACCTTGAAAAATGAATTCAAGTTGGAATGCAGCACCCTTCCTGTGACTCCCATTGTCTGATCAATAATGCTGAATGAGGAGTTGGGGAAGACTGAATCATAGCCACATCTTGTGCCATTGGAATACAGAAGCAGTTGAACTTGAGGCATAGACAGAGACTCAACCAAAGCTGTGTCATCTGCAGCTATCTTTGTTTATTTTATTTTCTCTCATGCACCAGTTTTCATAGTGCCTGCTAGGGTTCAGATATGATTTGGCCATCAGAGGTTCTTTCCATTATTTCATTTTCCTAAAATTAAAGTTAATTAAACAACCTTGCTTGAGTTAATTTAGTGATTAAAATTGATTTAATCAGTATTTCTTAAAAGCTGAGTGGATGAAGGGGATAAAAAGAGAAACTTTACTCTTCTGGTAAAGTAAGATACTTAGGGTGAGGGATGAGGGTTCTCCTGGCAGATTGGCATTAGGGACAGCCAGAAGAGTTGGGGATACATAAAGAATGTATAGATGTGATCTATAGGGCATTAAAAAAGTGTCTATATCCAGAGTCCTCCATAACTTGTCACTTGCTACTATATTTATGAGCAAGAAAATGGTACTAACCTAGATGACCATCAACAGATGAGTGCATAATTAAAATATAGTGCATTTACACAGTGGAGTTTCACTCATCTGAAGAGAAAAAATGTAAATCATGAAGCATTCAGGAAAATGGATAGATCTGGAAAGCATAATATTCAGTGACATGAACCAAACTCAGAAAGACAAACTCATGTATGCTTTCCCATACGCAGACTCTGACCTGTAAGGTATATATTATATGTACGTGGGAGCACAGGTAGAGAAAGCCTAAAAACCTAGGAGATGAGGAGGGTAAAAATTGATGATAAGGAATAATGGGGTAGTGGTCAAAAGACATAAGGAAGACAAAGGAGGAAAGGAAAGAATTTAGTAGGGTAGGGGTGAGGCAAGAGGGGAAGAGGATCTACTAAACCACACTTTGATTCAAAATGTCACAGTGGTATCTAGTGTCTTCTATGCTAATTAAATGTACTGAAAAAATAATGCACAGACATAAAAACAAACAAATTGCCATCAGAATATATTCTAACTATAAGAAAATAACATGTATCCTAGAATGTGGGGCAATTCATTGGTTTGGGTTTGTATATTTGTTTAGTGTTGTTTTTTAATTTTGTTTTGATGTTGGGTATCTTGTGTAGCTCAGGCTAGCCTCATAATTGCTGTGTAGCTGAGACTGGCTTCAAAATTGTAATGCTCTTGGCCCTGCCTCCCGGGTGCTAGGATTACAGGCATGTACTGCCACACCCAACTTTGGGACATGGAGATTTATAGTATTTTAGGAAATAAGAAGGGACTCAGAAAGGTGCTGTTTCAGAAAAGAACAAGGGTCCAGTTGCTTATCAGGACAATGCCACCTCTTTGGAGTCATTCTCTAAGAGGCTAGCCAGGAGAGAGGATTCTGGAATTGGCATCTGGTTTCTTCCTGTTGCTGGTGTGTGCTCTTGGACAAGTTAGCCTGTTTCTACAGACATCTCAATTATGAAATGGTGCTGATGCTGAGGTACTGATACTGGGTCATTAGTGATGATTAAATGAGAGCATAAGATGTAGTACACAGCCTTGTGAATAAACACTAACAATAACGGTGATAATGGTTGCTGTTCATGGAGGGTGGTGGTACAGCATGATTTCAATAAAAATGAAAAAATGGTCTCAAAACAGATTTTTTTTTTGGTCATAAAATCCTGTGCTTTGGTTCTTTGATTCTACTTCCTTAGTCCCTACCAATGTAAAAGACCAGTACTGACTTTGGTTCTTTTTTGAAGTTCTATCATTAGCTTGTTTTATTTCTAGAACTCCAACTTTAAAAAATATCACCTCTGATATCTATTTTAAAAAGAGCAGATACTCTTGAATTCCCAACTTTGTTCAGTTATTAATCCATTGATGTTATTGAAAAGTTCTGCCTTACCACACTTAGCAATTTCCAGAATTATTAAGAGGTAAGATGTCTCTTTGATGAAGAGCAATTACTGAGATTCTTTCTTTTCTTAGAGTGCCATCCTCTTAGTTCATTCTTCATAGAACATTGCAAATGAAGAGGTTCTTTTGGGTGATCAATGCATCCTCTAAAAGAGGCAACATTTCTGCCTAAGTCCAAAATGTTTGGAATATGTAAGACTTATCTGTGTCTCATTAGCAAGTCTCCAAGCTAAGATAATTCTTACAAAGAATTTTTCCTCTATCTCCCAAATCACTGCCAATATGTTTGATGACTGCCATTCCCCAAGCACCACCTGACAGTTAGAAAAGATTCAATTAGGATCTGAACTTCTAAACCGCATTTAGACATGACAAATTCAAACAAGACCACCCCGAGTCTATGGGAGAACTGGAGGTGTTTGAAGTTTGAGAGAAATGGTTTTCTTCTCATAAAAGTCAATGGTAGTTAAAGGTCAGAAATATAATAGCGTCCCAGACTTCTAGCATTCATGGTCATTGAGAGGCATTGAGAGTTAATGAGATGAAGTCAAAGCAAGGAAGACACCTGTTGATGTCACAGAACGGGCCTGATTAAATGCCAGTTCTTGCTCATAGCAAGTCCAGGTATCCAGTGTTTCAAAGTCACTGCCTAGGGCATGACACACAATTCTCTGCATCTGAAGCCAAACATTGTTTCCATTTTGCCCAGGTCTACACAGTCTGAGTCACAGTACAGGACATGAGTCACCTATGGAATATGATGTCTGAGACTAGCATGGGGAGCTGAGTTTATTTGCAGTCTCACAGACTGAAGCACCCAAGCAGATTTCCTGTAGCAATAACACCTTGTGCTGGTTAATGTTGACTGTCAACTTCATAGGATTTACAGTCATCTAGGAGAGAAATCTCTGAATGTATCCGTGAAAGGATTTCTAGATTAGGTTGACTGAAATGGGAGTGTTGATCTTAAATGTGGTCAGTATCTTTCCAGGGGCCAGGGTCTCAGACCTAATAAAAGGGTTGAGTGAGTTGAACATCAGCATTCATCTCCCCCTACGTACTTCCTGACTGTTGCTGCAATGTGACCAGCTGCCCCAGGCGCCTTCTCCGCCACAGGGGACTGTATCCCCTAGAACTGTGAGCCAAAGTAAACCCACCCTTCCTCAAATTTCTTTGCCGAGTATTTTTTCTCAGAGAAATGAGAAAAGTAAGACACATATATAATTCCTCCATTTATAAGATCTGTGGCTGAAATAATACTTGAGTAACCATGACAGTACAGTGGGAGGAAGTCTAGGCCAGATGGACCATAAGAAAGTGAGAATCATGTCTAT